GGTGAACGGTGTAGGAATTACAACAGTTTGCATATGTGCCTCCCACTTGATAAGGGACCAAAAGTAATGGGACAGAATAATAATCATAAATCAAACTTTCACTTTTTAATACTTGGTTGCAAATCCTTTGCAGCCAATTACAGCCTGAAGTCTGGAACGCATAGACATCACCAGACGCTGGGTTTCATCCCTGGTGATGCTCTGCCAGGCCTTTACTGCAACTGTCTTCAGTTCCTGCTTGTTCTTGGGGCATTTTCCCTTCAGTTTTGTCTTCAGCAAGTGAAATGCATGCTCAATCGGATTCAGGTCAGGTGATTGACTTGGCCATTGCATAACATTCCACTTCTTTCCCTTAATAAACTCTTTGGTTGCTTTTGCAGTATGCTTTGGGTCATTGTCCATCTGCACTGTGAAGTGGCGTCCAATGAGTTCTGAAGCATTTGGCTGAATATGAGCAGATAATATTGCCCGAAACACTTCAGAATTCATCCTGCTGCTTTTGTCAGCAGTGACATCATCAATAAATACAAGAGAACCAGTTCCACTGGCAGCCATACATGCCCAGACCATGACACTACCACCACCATGCTTCACTGATGAGGTGGTATGCTTAGGATCATGAGCAGTTCCTTTCTTTCTCCATACTCTTCTCTTCCCATCACTCTGGTACAAGTTGATCTTGGTCTCATCTGTCCATAGGATGTTGTTCCAGAACTGTGAAGGCTTTTTTAGATGTCGTTTGGCAAACTCTAATCTGTCCTTCCTGTTTTTGAGGCTCACCAATGGTTTACATCTTGTGGTGAACCGTCTGTATTCACTCTGGTGAAGTCTTCTTGATTGTTGACTTTGACACACATACACCTACCTCCTGGAGAGTGTTCTTGATCTGGCCAACTGTTGTAAAGGGTGTTTTCTTCACCAGGGAAAGAATTCTTCGGTCATCCACCACAGTTGTTTTCCATGGTCTTCCGGGTCTTTTGGTGTCGCTGAGCTCACCGGTGCGTTCTTTCTTTTTAAGAATGTTCCAAACAGTGGTTTTGGCCACGCCTAATGTTTTTGCTATCTCTCTGATGGGTTTGTTTTGTTTTTTCAGCCTAATGATGGCTTGCTTCACTGATAGTGACAGCTCTTTGGATCTCATCTTGAGAGTTGACAGCAACAGATTCCAAATGCAAATAGCACACTTGAAATGAACTCTGGACCTTTTATCTGCTCGTAATTGGAATAATGAGGGAATAACACACACCTGGCCATGGAACAGCTGAGAAGCCAATTGTCCCATTACTTTTGGTTCCTTAACAAGTGGGAGGCACATATGCAAACTTTTGTAATTCCTACACCGTTCACCTGAATTTGGATGTAAATACCCTCAAATTAAAGCTGACAGTCTGCAGTTAAAGATGATTAAGAATCCTCCTGCGCTTCTATGGACAATCCCCCTCCTAGTAGATAAGCTGCTGACACTCAAACCAATACCTTAATCAGTGTAAAAATCTATATAAATTAGTGTAGCGCTTAAAAAATAAAAAATACCATAATTGTAAAACTATAACAAAATTAATGAATGTGACCAGTGCTGTAATCTTCACAGTGCTCTTATGCCACTAATAGCATTTAGACATTAACAAAACCATCAATATCAGAATATAATAATAAATGTGACAAGTGCTGTGGTCTTCTCAGTGCTCTAATACCACTGAGTGAGAAATAAGACCATAAATCATTAATAATTAGTGATAGTGTCACTTAAAACAATAAATAAATCAATAAATAACAGGTGACGGTGCCACTTCAACTTCATTCAATGTCCAATATTCCTATTGACATTCATCTGTTCGAAGTGTTCTTGATAACCATGCATAGTGTGTATAAATAGTGCCACACGTGAACCAACACACTCCTTATCCACTTTGGCTGCAATGCCTGCTCACCTCCTTCCTGCGACCCCAAGGGGCCCACAAGCCTTTAGGATCTCCCTGGATCCTCAAGATTCCTGGTATTGGCACCTTCCTGATATTCCTCCTATCAGGTCTCCTCCACTCCTTCACTGCTATGCCTCCCAGGCTCCTCACCACCGATTGTCTGCAAGCTCTCTCTCACAAAGACAGTGAGTGAAAAAAACAGATCCTCCATTGTGTAGTATTTCCAATCAATAGGGTTTATTCATAAATCGCAACAACAGGTGACTTACATTCGGTTGTACAGTCTCAGTGCGTTCCTCTCTGGGTAAACTGCAACCTCTGATAGTGACTTCCTGATAACCAGGAAAATGGCGTCCCACACCGGAATAGCGACACTCCGGATATCGGAAGTAGCGTCTACGTATTGCCTACGCGTTACGTCACGTACCTCGTGACTTCTTCTGGGACCCAGGGAGCCTGGGAGGCATAGCAGTGAAGGAGTGGAGGAGACCTGATAGGAGGAATCAGGAAGGTGCCAATACCAGGAATCTTGAGGATCCAGGGAGATCCTAAAGGCTTGTGGGCCCCTTGGGGTCGCAGGAAGGAGGTGAGCAGGCATTGCAGCCAAAGTGGATAAGGAGTGTGTTGGTTCACGTGTGGCACTATTTATACACACTATGCATGGTTATCAAGAACACTTCGAACAGATGAATGTCAATAGGAATATTGGACATTGAATGAAGTTAAAGTGGCACCGTCACCTGTTATTTATTGATTTATTTATTGTTTTAAGTGACACACTATCACTAATTATTAATGATTTATGGTCTTATTTCTCACTCAGTGGTATTAGAGCACTGAGAAGACCACAGCACTTGTCACATTTATTATTATATTCTGATATTGATGGTTTTGTTAATGTCTAAATGCTATTAGTGGCATAAGAGCACTGTGAAGATTACAGCACTGGTCACATTCATTAATTTTGTTATAGTTTTACAATTATGGTATTTTTTATTTTTTAAGCGCTACACTAATTTATATAGTCTGCAGTTAAAGCACATCTTGTTCGTTTTATTTCAAATCCATTGTGGTGGTGTATAGAGCCAAAAATGTTAGAATTGTGTTGATGTCCCAATATTTATGGACCTGACTGTATGTATATATGTATGTGTGTGTATATATATATACATACATATATATATACATACATACATACATACATACAAACACACACTATATTGCCAAAAGTATTGAGAAGCTTGCCTTTACACACACATGAACACTTTGATGGCATCCCAGTCTTAGTCCGTAGGTTCAATATTGAGTTGGGCCATCCTTTGCAACTGTAACTGCTTCAACTCTTCTGGGAAGGCTGTCCACACGGTTTAGGAGTGTGTCTATGGGAATGTTTGACCATTCTTCCAGAAGCTTATTTGTGAGGTCAGGCACTGATGTCGGACAAGAAGGCCTGGCTCGCAGTCTCCGCTCTTAATTCATCCCAAAGGTACTCTATCAGGGTGAGGTCAGGTCTCTGTGCAGGCCAGTCAAGTTTATGCGCCCCAAACTCACTCATCCATCCATGTCTTTATGGACCTTGCTTTGTGCACTGGTGCACAATCCTGTTGGAACAGGAAGGGGCCATCCCCAAACTGTTCCCACAAAGTTGGGAGCATGAAATTATCCAAAATGTTTTGGTATGCTGACGCCTTAAGAGTTCCCTTCACTGGAACTAAGGGGCCAAGCCCAACCCCTGAGAAAAAAAAACCCCACACCATAGTCCCCCTTGCACCAAACTTTTTACACAATGCAGTCAGGCAAGGACCATTCTGCTGGCTGCTGCCAAACCCAGACATGTCCATTGGATTTCCAGACAGAGAAGCACACACACACACACACCTGAAAAAAAAACATCAGTGTATTCTGAATCCCCGCTGTAATAATAGTGTCTTAGCGGGGAGGATTCCTCTATCCACTGACTGATTGAAAAAGAATGGGTAATCTATGGCCATCTTCCTGTCTCTAAAGCTGGCCATAGACAGTTGGATCTTCGGCCGGTTCAGGAGGGACCAGCTGAGATTCACACCATGTATGGGCAGCTGATTGTACCCAAGTTGATCGGTCAACTTGGATACAACCAGCATGTAGGATTTTTCATGCGATTGCCAGCTGCTATAGCTGCTAGCAATAATCGTGTGTTCTCCCAACAATGACCCCTCCCCGCGCCCCCCTCCACCAGGAGAAAACAATAGCTTAGCGGGAGGGATTCCACCATGAACACGGACTGTGTTCATGGGGGAATTGAGCAATTTTTCTTTCCTGCAATCTGTTGTTGCAGGAAAGAAAACCCTTCTATGGCTGGCTTTAAGGGTCTGAGGTTGCAGATCAGTGTCATCAGAGAAGAGCTTTTCATGCCTGGTTTCAGCTTATCAGATGGATCTTGTTCTAAGTAGTCCTGTGATATGATGTTCATCAGCTTACAAAACTATTGGAAGGAGTAACTGTTTGGTCTGCTTTGTCATTGGATATTGAAAGCATTAGGGACATTACCTTTCAATAATCTTCCTTTTTGGAGTTTCTTTTGATGTGATTCAGACAGTGGTATTCTGTGCAAGGCAAAATATTGTGTAGTAAGGATGTCGTCTGTAAAGCTGGGTATGCACGGTTAGGTTTTGTTCATGTTTGTGTTTTGAGAACGTTCATTAGACTTTCTGATTGTTAGTTGGGTCAAATCAAAATGCCCCGATGTTGTCGGCATGTATACATGCACATGGGGGGCATACAAACTACTTAGTACCATTCTGAGTTGCTGCATTGAAATTTCAGCAAAATGGACTAGCCTGCTACGTTAATTTTTTCACTTTGATTTTCGGGATGTCTTTGAATTCAGTCCTATGTAGGTTGATCATTTTCATTTCCATCAAACGATGAGGCATAATTACAGTCCTAATACATTACCCAGTCCATATCAGTATAGATATACAGCATAATATTTTTCCCCATTGAGATCTGATGTGTTTTCAAAGTGTTCCTTTCATTTTTTTGAGAGCTGTGTGTGTCTGTGTGGCATTTTTTCCTAACTGTTTTTTTGGCATTTAGTATTTTGCAGTATATAAACCAGCGTAGAAAGCACAGGGACCGCTGGGTAGAAGCCCTGACCAACACATCAGTCCCTTGTAAGTATTGTTTCCCTGTGTTGCAAAAAAACAGTTCTATACAGAGAATATGTATTATTATGTTATGTTATAGCTGCTTCATAGTTTTGGTACTATTTGGAATAATGAACCAGATCACCAGTGTTGACACTAACTTCAAAACGTTACTTAAGGCTGGACTCCAGTCAAACATCTAAGTACACAGATAAAATAAATATAAGATATGTTTACCTGCTGAAGTATTTGTGCTTTCTATCCTGAGATTCTACAGCACTGTCAGTCAGTACAGCCAGTCTGAAAAACTTCCTTTTCTCTACTGTAGCTGCATAGTACAACTAGGCCTTGTTCTTGCCCCCAGCCTATGATTGGACAGTGCAGAAGTAGAAAATAAATGAGCTCATCTGTCACTTTACACTTTTCTCCTGTCAGCATGTTCCTTGTAAGCACATGAGTACTGCAGCACAAGTGACTGTTCTGCCCTCTCCTTTGTTTGCCAAGAAGCATATATTAAGTGTGAATAAGTGCTTACAGTAGCTGTCTTTAAAAATACTTTTAAAGCAGAACAAACTCTCCTATCCTGTACAGCCAGGGAAGCTGCCATCTTAGTATGTTTTGATCTGCTATTGACATTTGCTGCACGCATCAGTTATGACCTCAGCCATTGGATGAATTGATAGTTCGGTTGAGATCACATGCAAATATGACCGTTAATTCTTGGCATGCCTTGAATGAATCTGTTTTGGAAAACTGTTAAACCAATTGATTTCATTCAGCTTTTAACCCCCCCGGCGTTATTCCTGAGTGTAGCTCGGGGTTAACTTTCAGTACCAAAAGCGGTAGCCCCGAGCTACACTCGGGATTACCCTGCAGCGTTGCTCTGGGATTCCCTCCAGCACTTACCTTGTCCTGCGCTCCCGCGATATCCCCCCTGCAGTGTCACCAGCTCCTCTGGGCGATGCTGGCATCCAGGTTCCATTCCCTGCGAGTGTCGGGACGTACGGGGGATGGAACCGGTGGCAAATTTAAAAATGCGACATTCACTCAATATACTAAAATCTCATAGTATAACATTAGTGTATCAAACCATTTCACATACATTTTGTCCCTAGTGCTTTGTCCTGTGCCCTGCTTGCATTTTTACTGTTCTTTCTGCCTTGAAACTGAGAAATGTCCATGGCTTCCAAAAAGCGTCTCTTTAGGTCAAAAGCGGGTTTAGATCCGCTAGAGAACAGCGATGGTAAATTAGAAACACTTGCAGAATTGAGTGATAATGATTTCTGGGGAAATTCGTCATCAGACAGTGAAAATTATTTTACGACTAAGATCAGTGATGTGCGAACTTGGCGCTCTATTTCAAATTTCAGTGTTTTTGGTTTGATTACATTATTGAATTAAATTTATAATTATTATATTATTATTGTTTATGATTATTTATTATAATTTATGATTTCGTGTTTTAAATTTTATCATACCCGGGATGTTTACTAGACTCTTGTTCGGACAGATTTCAGCGAGTTATTACTAAGAATTACAAGCCTACAATAAAAAACCAGCATATTTCCATGCAAAAAATATGTACTGCTTTGAGCACAGAAATATTGACATAATCAGACCGCTAGGGAGGTTAATGAACCATTACTCAGCACCTGATGGGATAGAGTGAATGCAGTACTTTGTCACATCTTCCTAGGTGCCATGTAACACTAGTTGCCATGTCAATCAGGGTGCCCCCTTGGCACACAGTTGCTCAAAGCACTGGCAAAAAAAAAGATGCAGAGCCGAGGTTAGGCTGACATACCTCACTTCTCTCTTCATTCCCCTTGCTGGGGAAGTATTACCAGTACTTTTATCCTATCAGAAACTGACTAATGTGATATTTCTTCTTTAAAGCAGTATTTAAATTCAAAAGTAAACTTTTATTATATTGCAGCTTACCAATTCTTAGATGTGATGGCTGCATTAGTTTTCTTTTTTAGATGTTTTTTCATCTATTTTCAACTGGTATTCTATCCAGTAAGTCTGTTCTTTTTTAAAAGCACAAACTGTCTTGCAGATGTATCCGTGACAGTATCGAGATAACCCATTTAACACTGACAGGGGTGCCTACAATGATCAGCTTTTATGTAAAAGCTTTTTCCCAGAAGGGGGAAAAAACAGTTTGCTGTACCTGCTTATAAAGTATTAGTTTGAGAACGGTTGAAATTGGTATTTTGTTTATATCTGCTAGTACATCTAACACCCCCCCCCCCTCAAACTTACAAACTGACAATGCTGCTATCCAAATGTGCCCCATATGCTACTTTATAGGAGGTGTGTTACTGGCCAAATCACCGGGGAAAAGCCTAAAAGGAAACTAATGCAGCCATCACGTCTAATGATTGGTAAGCTGCAATATGTTATATTTTTGGTTTTCAGTTTAATGCAGCTGGAAAGCAGGCGTTGCACCAGGAGTAGAAGATTAGAAAAATGAAAGTTGGCACATACAGAATTTGACAAATGTGGTCACTGTCTGGCTGCATCAAGCATTACACTGGAAACAAGAAGTAAACGTAAAATTGTAGATTCTAATTTGCACTTTCTATTATAGTGCACATTATATATGGACCCCTGGACCCAGTTAATCCCCATCCTGAGTTCATGGAGCAGTACAAGTAAGTTAAGCATTTTATAGGAATTAGGGAAGAAGTAGAAAGTATTCACAGTAGGTTAACCATCTTGGTTGTTAATGGGGAAAGAATTGGTTTGTGTGTGTGTGTGTGTTGTTTTTTTTTCAGCGTTTCTGAAAAATGTAAAAGTTTATAAACTGATATTTTATATAATTATTGTTATACAATCATTTGACAACAAATAATACAGTGTTCTACTAAGCGGTGCATGCTGGGCAAACAAAGCCCAGCCTTAGCTCAACATTTGTTTACTGCTTCTGATCCAGACAGCACCCTCTCCAAAAGAGGTGGAAATGTCCCTCCTCTAAAGCTGGCCATAGACGGATCAAAATTTGCCCAGTTCCGCAGTAACTGGCTGAATTTTGATCCATCTGTTTTGCAGGCTGGTTGTACTGAAGTCAATTTTATCGATTAACTTCAGAGTAAACAGCCTGTCAGGTTTTTTTTTCCCTACAATTGTTGCCATTGGCTACAGCCAGAAGTAGTGATCACTGTAATTTGGGGAGACCTCTCGCTGTCAGAATACAATAGTCAGTGTTGGTGGACGAATCAAGCTATTATTTTTTTTTCCTTCAACCGGTGGCTGAAGGAAAGAAAATTCCATTATGCATGGCCAGCCATATCATTCAGATGACTCATTCAGATGTTGGTGTAACCTGAGCTTCTGCTATTCAAGTCTGTATTCACAGCAGTAAACCAGGTACTTGGACTAGCTTCATTACATGCTGGCTGCAAAACAACAAATATAAGATGTTTTCATGCAGTATTTAATTTTCATCTGTCTAAGTATGTATCTTAATTCCAGATTACAATACATAAGAAAATATACAAAAAACAATATATATTTACTTCATTTTTGCAGTGCTGTTAATTACATTTTATCCTCAAATGTGAAATGGCAAAAAAGAGGAAAGCTTCTCTTTCTTGTTGGAGTAGGTTATGACATTGTGATACTGATGACATTCTGCTATAGCAGACTAATTACAATTCTCTGCAATGTAAAGTGTTACTAAACCCACAACAGTAAAATCAGTCTGTATATGTAGTAAAGCATGCTGGTTATACTCACTGTGGAACCTAAGAGGTTAATCCTCTGTATTGTGTAAAAAGGATGTTTCATCCTGACTCTGATCCTCCCATTCTTCCACAGTCCACAAGCTGCACATGCTCAGTTTGGTGTGTATTGCTAGAGAGTGTTTTTTTTTTTTTTCCTTGGGAGAAATCATGTGACCCCCACACAGGGCCAATCAGCACTGTTGGTAGACCAGAGATATAGTGAATGCAGGGTCATGGGTTTAGTAACACTTTAATTTGACCCTGAACATAAAGTAATGCTGTATTGTGAAATGTACTTTTTTCCCCACTGTGATATGTGGTAATGTTGTAAACAGCAATAAATGTGTAATATAAATTGCACTGGCCAAAATTGTGGACACCTATGGAAAATGTAGACGGTTTCCAGTTTAATGTGAATTTTGACTCTAAAATTGTGCTTAAGCCTATCATGTTATACATCATATTAATGCTCAATCATTGTGTAATTTAATCATTTACACTCCTCTGAAAATGTAAGTACACCCATGGAAATTGACATTAGATATTGATTCAACTATTGTCTACAGATAAAGGTGATATACATGCACAAATGACACATGAAATGAAATGGTGTATTTATTTTCATAATCTAAACAAAACATTTAGCTTAGTCATACGGAAAAAGGAAGTGCACCCCTATATTTCCCACCACTGTCAATCTGTGTTCCAGATTAGGTGCCAAGAGCTCTTTAGGGGAGTATGCAGGTGGAAACTGTCATAGAAAGCCTCCATTATGTAGTGTCTGGAGTTCTCTCAATCTCCAAGAACCCCAAAATTTCATTGTGGGGTGTTTCAAGTATTATTTTCAAAGGTTGGGGTCAAAGTTCATACATCTGCAATCATAAAGATATTGCACCAATTCAACTTGCATGAGAGGTGTGTTGAGAAAGTGTCTATGCTGTCCAAAAATAACATCACAGCATGGTTGCAGTTTGCTAGTGAACATCTGTTTTAAAAGAAAAAAAAAAAGCCTTCTGGAAAAATGTACTAAAGACTCATCAAGAGCTGTTTGGGTCGCCTTAAAGGCAGACATGTTGGCAGCAAGTTGAAGACAGTATTTCAGAAGTGCCTCATAACTGTAAAACATGGTGGTGCAAATGTAATGGCAGGGAGTTGCTTTGCTGCTTCAGAGCCTGAGCTGAGCAGATCCCAGTTGTCGAGTCAGCTATATATTCTGCATCATATTTAAAGAATTAACTCACCTTTAGGAACATGTTACATGTCACCCATATTTAGGGCTCTGCCCACACATCTGCGTCATTCATTCACAGGAATCTGCAAATCTACAAGGCCTGCCCACCACTGTGGAGACAGACTTTTGTAGTATCAAGGAACTGCCAGTGTACTGATCAGCATCCTCATCGTTCATTCACACTGCCTCTGATCATGGGTGCAGTACTCTGCAGACTTCAGTGAAAAAAAATAAGTGCACTTTTTTTTTAAAAAAAATTTGTATTTATTTTTTTCCCCACGAAGGTGAACTTAGTCTTTAAGTGTGCCTAATGAGCATGTGAAACCATTTGTCCAAAAGCTGAAGATGAACCAAAAATTAGGCTTTCAAAATAAAGTCCATGCAAGAAGAAATAGTTTTGGGTCGCTCTAGTCAAAGCCCTGATTTGATTTCCTATTTCATTTATTTGATATCATAGTGGTGCAAGAAGTGACCATTTGGCAATACATCCCCAAAATATGAATCAAATATTATTGGCTATATCTCTTGAGCAAGGTTGGGGACTTCAGTTGCTAAATCAGATGCTACACACTATCTGAGAAAATGCAGTTGTTCTTTATCACTTAGAGCAACTTAAGTACATATAATTAAATAATAAAAATGAGTTTATAGTAGTCATCATGTCAGCAGAATTAAGTTAAGCACATATTATCTAAAAAATATATATATATGTGTGTGTTTTAGCAGTACATTTGCTTCACACCCGCCCAATGCATCTACATATCCAAGAATGTTCTACAAAATTCCACAGATGTGGTATGGCAGTATATTAATTTTACAAGTGTAGCTCATGTAAGAAGTGGCTGTATTTCCGTAATGTGTTTCGCCGTCTGCTTGCTCTGAGGAGATAGGGTGGCAACCTAAATTTATAAATTTATAATACATAGGCATAGATATGAATCATAATATCAAATATATTGGTATATTTTTGGCTCTCTTTATAGAACTTACATAAGTCATTAAAAGCGCGAACGTATCAGGTGATCCAATGACATCAAAACCACACTGCATCATGGCTAGGAAGCACACCCACGTGTGGGACCACTGGGAGGAGGAAACAGGCACACATACCCACTGCCCCACAATTTTTGTAAATATATGTATAAATATATATTTTTTTTCCATGAAAGATATACAGTGCATTCCATCAGTATTTGTATGGGTGCTACAAAAGAAATGAAGAATCCGATTACACCTACCTATGAGTCTCCCTGTAAATCTTCTGCTAAAATCTTGCATTTTTTAGATGTGTGTTTAACTTAATTCTGTTGACGTGACTACAAAGTTGTCCTTTTTAGGCTCCGTTCACACCTATGCAATTTGCTTTATGTCTGTTTTGCAGTGTTTTTTTGCAGTTTGTTTTGCGCTTTTCTACTTGCATTTTTGACGCGTTTTGTACTGTTTTTTTTTTTGTTTTGTTAAAGTGGAATTTGTTTTTGTTGCTGGCCATAATAAACATGGAAAATGTGGTAAAAATGCAGTACCATGCATTTCAGCAGATTCTCCATTGAACTCTATTGTAGCAAAAATGCTGCTTTTAAAAAAGCATAGATGTGAACATGTTTCATAGGAAACCATGTTAAATGGACTGGGGTACATTTCAGCAAAAAACACTAAAAAAATGTATTGGTGTGAATGGAGCCCTAATTTATTTATATATACTCTATGTTGTAGTAAAGAACCACTGAATTCAACATCTGAAGTGGCAACTGAAAAGATCCTAACCCTACTCAAGGGATACAGCCAATAATATATGTTCCATTGATATTTTTGTAGGGGATTTTGAACAGACAGTTCATTCAAGGAAACCCTTAAGCATCTTGCATCTACAGGAATTTTGCATTGAGAAATGGTTAAAAATTTCAGTGTCATAGATTGGTGGGTAGTTGTACAAAACAGAAGAAGTAATTTCTGCTAAAGGGGGCAATACCAGCTTTTGATTCCAAAGGTGTGCTTACTTGCACAGTATACCATTACATTTGTTGATATTTCTATTAAATGATTTAAAAAGCACATTGTTCTTGTGTTATTACTCATGTATATTACTTTTATCTGGAGGTACTGTTTGTATAAAGATCTAATGTTTGCCTGTTCAAATACTGTACGTTGAAAAGGTCCACAATTTCCATGGGGTCTAATTGATTTTTCACACGGCTGTATATCTGAAATTTTATAGCAAGACCAAAAAAAAACAGAATTCTTGATTTTTAGTGCAAGGAGTGATAGAATTAGGGTGCAGGGCCGAGCTGTGGCTCCATGTGTGAATAGACACATGGCGCAGCGGGTGCCCCCATAGCAAGCTGCTTGCAGTGGGGGCCCCCAACAGGAGGAAGGGGCCAGGAGAGCCTGTGGGGGACGTGAGAAGAGGAGGATCTAGGCTGCTCTGTGTAAAACCACTGTACATAGCAGGTAAGTATAGCCATCTTTTGTTTTTTTAAATAAACCTTTAGAATCACTTTAAATAATATACAGTTTTATTGAGCATATATATATATAATATGAGTATCAGCAAATCTATCATTCCAAATTAGACCAATCATACAATTTTTCAAGTGTCCACAATTTTGGCCACTAGTGTAGATCAAGGCTTTCACTTCTAGATATGAACTTCCAGATAACGGTAAATACACACATGGAGGTTGATTTATAAAGAAATGAGAGTGTTCTCCAAGCAAAGTGATTGGCTACAGAGCATGGTAAATCACATTCTACACATGCTTGCAAAAAAATAGTTTTTTCCTTTGCACATGACTGGGTATTTACTGTCATTGGCTTTGCTGCGTGAACAGCCTTCACTCCTTCAGTAAATCACCCCCCATACCTTTCAAACCATTAAACATATTTAAAATATTTGCTATTCTGCCTACAGAATATTGTCAGTATACAGTTTGTGATGAAATTTGCATGACTGAAAAGCTTTTCATTTTTGGCTGTTGTTTTATCCCCAGGAAACTTATACCGAAGTCAACCTTCACTATCCTGGATGACCATATTAGTCACTACCCCCAGCTGGAAGATCCTACTGGATTCCTAAATGCCTATCTAAGTTTTATCAATTCATTCTGAGGGCTCTTCGGTTTCAGATGACATGCTGTGGTGTGTGTATAAATGCAATAATAATTTTCATGACAGTCATTCATCAGCTGGTGCTGCATTCACATAAAAGTGACTAAATATCTCAGGGATGGCAATTCAGTCACTTTGTTTAGGCACATACTGAGCCATTTTCCATTTGAGAGAGTGACATAAAGCTGACTGTAAGGGAATACTAACGTCTCTATTTGTGTGTGTTGAAATCTGATGTATATATGGGGTAGGTGTTTTGTTGTCTTAGCTGATAACATAGCTGAGACGCAATGCATTTACACAAGTGGAAAAAATAGGAGGACTTTTTTTCTTCATTCCTTTTAACTTGGGATGTTGCAGGCTTTAGGGGCACTTCTTGATGCAGAACAAATTGGTGTTTGACTGCCACTGTCTGTCTGCAGGATGTGCCACAGAACATATGAAAATTGTTGACACACTTTCTACATATCATTGAAGACTACTAGTTAAAACCTGGAAAGTTAGGAAGTAGAGTCAGGAGTGCCTTTTCATTCTGTTTGTTTGGCACAGTATTAGGGGGAGCATTAGTGTGTGTTTTGAAAAGTATGGTTTGTCATTAGTGAGATAATTAGTGTGGCTTTGTATCTCAATGTGAAGCAGATTTGCAGCCGCTTGGTATTTCAGGGATTTGTGTTCATGTACATTGAGCCATAACAGTATAAGAAGGGGGCTGCAGTTTTCTCAAGGGCTTTAGGAATTCTAAGCTTTTCTAAGTGTAAACATGTACTTTTTATAATGACTAAACCTACAAGGTTTGGAAATGTTCTTTTATATTGGATTAGCTGTACATTAAGAAGTCTGATCAATAATACTGGGCAAACCACTAATCATAGCAAACAATTAGAATCCATTGTTTACTGCTATGTTTGCTGTAAAGTGAATTCTGATCAGTTGCAGTGGATTACTGCGCTTTTCTCCTTGCTTTACTGAATAAACCAGTTAATGTACCCATCACCTACTAGTATGTATTGCAACAAATTTGTGGATATTCATTGAATTTGGCTGTTCAACTAAATATTAACAATACTGCAGTTTGCCCTATTGGCTATAAATTATGTATTTTCTTAGCTACATTTTTTTATTCCTACACAGTGGCAACTGAATGCTAGAAAGTATTTCCTGCTTGTGATTCTGGAAGCCACTCTTGCTTCATACATTTGTGAAGCACCAGTTAGGCATGTTTTTCAGTACAGTGTTAAAGGGAAACTGTAATGTTTTTATGTCTAATTTGTTTTAGGTTTGTAAGCCCTTACGGTTTTGTATTTTTTGTTTGATACAATCTTACTTTTTTAAATAAACATTTAATTCATGACAGACAATTCCCAAAGCACCATGGGCTAGCTAAGGAGGCAGCACAGCAGAAGAATCTTGTTTTTTAGGCTCTGTTTGTCTGATAGGGTTATTAGTCAGTAGTGTGATGGCTTATTTCAGAAAATCAGAGCAATACTACCTGACAAGCGAAAATGCATCTAGAGCATTGACTGCTGGCTGGCAAGAAAAATACATAATATTTCAGTTTTTGTTTAGCCCTAATAAATTAAGTGAAGTTGTCTTTTAATGCTCCACCCCCTCAATGAAGCCTGGGGTAGTATCATGCCTTCAGCTCTATTGTGAAGTTCCATCAGTTTGTACCCCATCCTCATGCCGCACAGACTCTAGGCTTTGTCCAGCTTCTGCTGCACATGTATGCCACTTAGTCCACTCATGCCTGTGGCTCATCTGCACTCATGGAGACCTTCGGCCATGTAGAGGAGCATGAAATGAGTCATAGTATTGAGTAGGGCAAGTGCATGTATATTCATTATATGCTGGAAGGGTAGAACTGTGAAAAACACTAGAGCAGGCATGAAGGCAAGCGGTTTACTGCTAGGTCTGTTCATTTCTATGGCCCATCTTTATTGTAATGACCTCTGTCATTATGTATGCTGACCATCCCCACTGAGGTCCTAATCTATCGAAATCTAGTTTTATTCTGAAGTTTTACTCTAACAGTAATCTAATTGTTTTGCAGCGTATGGCATTTGATAGGCTATCAAAGCTTGCAATGTATTTTGTACATGGTATCCATTGCATCTTCAGAAGGTAACTTGTATTTGATGTTTATTGTCCTGTCCCTTTTGATAAAAAACATTTTTACAATACTGATATAATTTACAATGTAAAACTATTAATTTGTAAATCTCCCCACTAAGAAATGTCATAACTGTTTTGTCCCAGTGTATCCAAACTTCTCTTATATTAAAATGTCTGTCTCATTACAGATCTGAAAAATGTAAATGGTTAAAAAGAAATCTGAATATGGTCTTGTATTTGGCATGTTACCAAAGTCTGTGCAACTACATAATACTTTGAAAGCAAATTTGAATAAAAATTTTTACTAATGAAAATGTGTGCAAGCTCACTTTTGAAATACAGCACTATTATTGTTTTCTGTCCTGTAAAACTAATTGAAACCACATGTGAAGTTTAATGGCACCAGACCAAAGCCGATAAGCAAAAAAAAAACCCCCACCAGCATGGGAATGAAGGGAGCAGCGTCCTTAATCCGTTCCAGTGTCTGGGATGAGATGAGGGGGAGTGGACGCCGCTCAAGACCAGCCTCGGGAGTCCAGCACGTTGTATGTGTGGTGTTGCCACAGCACCTCTCCAGTTACGCCTTTTGATGCATTTCGCCCCGCTCATCGGGGTTGGTTGTGAGTGGAGTCCGCTCCCCCTTATCTTGTATTTGAAAACCATGTTTGAATTTCTCACCTTTCAAGATCTACAGCTCCTGTATGTTAAAGTAAACATTTCTTCAGCGTGGGCAATTCAGACTAAGCATATGATAAAAATGCATGAGCACTGAGTGAATACTCCATTGTCAAAATTATCAGTAGGCCCAAAAATCGGGACAATGGATGGGTGGGGTCAAGCCAATGGGTGTCCGTACCTCACCCCAGATATTACCTTTGGCTGCAGATTGCACTTGAATGTATGGCCAAATGGTTTCCAAAGAACCTCAGTTCTTCTATAACTTATATTGGGGGTGTCTTATTTCCTTCAAGATATCAAGCAGCAATAATTCTGTATGGATTGGAAAGAAAAACATAAAAAGTAATGCCCATATAGGCAACTACGCATAAAAAATAATATATATACAGTGGGGCAAAAAAGTATTTAGTCAGCCACCAATTGTGCAAGTTCTCCCACTTAAAAAGATGAGAGAGGCCTGTAATTGGCATCATAGGTAGACCTCAACTATGAGAGACAAAATGAGAAAACAAATCCAATCACATTGGCTGATTTGGAAAGAATTTATTTGCAAATTATGGTGGAAAATAAGTATTTGGTCAATATCAAAAGTTCATCTCAATACTTTGACCTCTGTCATTGCCAACAAAGGATATATAACAAACGTTTCCTGTAAGTCTTCACAAGGTTGGCACACACTGTTGCTGGTATGTTGGCCCATTCCTCCATGCAGATCTCCTCTAGAGCAGTGATGTTTTAGGGCTGTCGCTGGGCAACACGGACTTTCAACTCCCTCCAAAGGTTTTCTATGGGGTTGAGATCTGCAGACTGGCTAGGCCACTCCAGGACCTTGAAATGCTTCTTACGAAGCCACTCCTTTGTTGCCCGGGTGGTATGTTTGGGATCATTCTCATGTTGGAAGACCCAGCCACGTTTCATCTTCAATGCCCTTGCTGATGGAAGGAGGTTTGCACTCAAAATCTCACCATACATGGCCCCATTCATTCTGTCCTGCAGGTCATTCACTAGGTCCCCCCGTGTGGTCCTGGGATTTTTGCTCACCGTTCTTGTGATCATTTAGAAAAACAACTCGTCGTGTTTGGAAGAGAGAGAATGCTGAGTTGCATTCAAAGAACACCATACCTACTGTGAAGCATGGGGTGGCAACATCATGCTTTAAGGGTCTGTTTCTCCGCAAAGGGACCAGGATGACTGATCCATGTACAGGACAGAATGAATGGGGCCATGTATGTGAGATTTTGAGTGCAAACCTCAGGACACAGGTATTCAAGCCTACAGGGCACTTATACCCCCTTCCTGCCCAGACCAATTTCCAGCGTTCAGCGCTGTTGCACTTTGAATGACAATTGCGCGGTCATGCAACACTATACCCATATGAAATTTTTATCATTTATTTTGTGACAGAGCTTTATTTTGGTGGTATTTAATCAACTCTGAGTTTTTTATTTTTTCTTAAACCAAAAACCACTGAAAATTTTGAGAAAAAAACTCTTAGTTTTTGTTATAAAATTTGGTAAATAAGTGATTTTCTCCTGCACTGATGTGCGCTAATGAGGCTGCAGTGATGTGCATGATGGCACTGATAGCTGGCACTGAAAGGCAGCAGTGATATGGCACTGATGCGCACTGATAGGTAACACTAAAAGGCAGCTCAGATGGGCACTGAATGTGGCATTGATGTGCTCTGGTAGGCACTGATGTAGCACTGACAGCTGGCACTGATGGACACTGACAGGTGCTCTGATGATCTGTATAAATGTCCCCTCCGAGGAATACCGATTACTGGCTCTCCTCTCCTGTCAGCGTGACCGCTCGAGAGGAGAGAAATGCCGATAACCGGCATTTCCTTGCTTACATGTGATCAGCTGTGATTGGACACAACTCATCACATGACTGAGCCGACATCTTCGTCTCTTCACAGCGGACCGGTGATCCGCTGTGTCCGAGGGACACAGTGCACCACCGATCTCCAGGATGTGAGGACGTCATATTACATCCTCCCAGAACGAGAGAACCACCTTGTGTCCGTCTTATTACTATATGGCGGGCGGGTGGGGAGGTGGTTAAAGTGACAACTTTGTGTAAAAAAAACCCCACTATGGCTCACAATTGATATCATCCAAAAATATTTAGACAGAATAAAAGGTGAATAAAGCACCTGGACCAGATGGCATACACCCACGGGTCCTTAAAGAATTGATCTCTGTCATTTCAAAGACATTGTCTCTAATTTTTAGGGACTTTTTAATGCTTGACATAGTACCACTGGACTGACGTAAGGCCAATGTGGTGCCTATATTTATAAAGGGGTCAAAATCTTTACCAAGTAATTTATAGACCTGTTTAACTTCTATATTTGGGAAGATACTGGAGAGTTTAATAAAAGACCACATAGATGAGTTCTTGCTGTAAAAAAATATTTTAAGCAACAGACAGCATGGATTCATGAAAGACAGAAGTTGTCAAACAAATCTGATTTCTTTTTATGAGGAGGTGAGCAAAACCTTGGACAGAGGTGTGGCGGTGGACGTGGTATACTTGGTTTTTGCAAATGCTTTTGACACAGTTCCCCACACACGGCTAATGTGTAAGGTAAAGTCTATAGGCTTGGAAAAATCAGTATGTAAATGGATAGAAAACTGGCTAAAAGATCGTACTCAAGAGTAGTGGTTAATGATTCATACTCTGAATGGTCTAGGGGTGTCAGTGGTGTACCCCAAGGTTCAGTGTTGGGACCCTTACTTTTTAATATATTTATACACGATATAGGGTCTGGGATTAGAAATACCATTTCAGTCTTTGCAGATGACACCAAGCTGTGCAGTGGAATAACGTCTTTACAGGATGTCTCCAACTTACAAGCCGACCTCAATGCTCTGTTTAATTGGGCAACTGTGGCAAATGAGGTTTAATGTTGATAAATGTAAGGTTCTGCACTTGGGGGCTAAGAATATGCATGCATCATACATACTAGGGGGAGTACAACTGGGGGAATCAATGGTGGAGAAGGATCTGGGAGTTCTGGTAGATCACAAGTTTAGTAATGGCATGCAATGCCAAGCTGCGGTTTCTAAAGCGAGCAAAATTCTCTCTTGTATTAAGAGGTATAGACTCAAGAGAGAGAGAGATATCATATTACCCCTGTACAGATCTCTAGTAAGACCTAATCTGGAATATGCAGTTCAGTTTTGGGCACCAATTCACAAAAAGAACATTGGGGAACTGGAGAAAGTACAGAGAAGGGGAACCAAACTGATACGAGGCATGGAGGAGCTCAGCAGAACTGATTTTATTGTAGAGCTATTCACCCCGAGGTCATCACAGAGGACAAGGCGCGGCACTGTTTACGTCTGGAGGAAAAGAAATTTGATCTCCAAACACGGAAAGGTTTCTTCATAGGGAGAGCTGTGAAAATGTGGAATAGAATCCCTCAAGAGTTGGTTCTTACCAGCTCAGTGGATTGCTTTAAAAAAAGGCCTGGATTCTTTCTTGGATACACAGAATATAACTGGATAATAACATTTATAGGTAAAGTTCATCCAGGGAATATCCGATTGCCTCTTGGGGGATCAGGAAGGCATTTTTTCCCCCTGCAGAAGCAAATTGGATCATGCTTTGCTGGGGGGGGGGGGGGGTTGCCTTCCTCTGTATCAACTGTAGGTATAGGATAACTTTTTTTTTTATGGTTGAACTGGATGGACTTTTGTCTTTTTTTCAGCCAAACTATTGATCCACTTTTAATGGATAGACTGAGGGCAGGTAAGCCTGGAGGAAGCCCACCCCTATTCATAATGCTTCTACTATGGAGACTCTCAAAATGTACAAAGTTAGGACTGCAGAATACTGGGGTGCTGTGAAAGGGCTCTGCAGCTTACACATGTATGCAAACTAAACCCCTGTTTTTAATGTGAACTGTTAGGACAATTCGATTGGTTTCAGGCTGGTTGTAAGTTGAGCTGGGAATTTTTCTTTGTTTGACAAATATCATGCTTCCTGTGTTATTCACCACTATAGCATATTCTTCCACAAGGCAGTACTGAACTGAAATCATGAGGCCTGCAGTTTTCCCAAGTCACTGATATTGTGTAACACCAGTTATAATTTTACCATGTGCACTTATGTCCCAATACAGAATTTTTATTCAGGCAAGAAGTACGAAGAAAGATCTCAGACAAGCCAGTATTTGGATGGTTTAAAGTTTATTTTTTTATAACATACAAATAAGTTATCTCAGATGTGACCAAAGTTGTTAAAAGTTTTCTATATTACAGCAAATTCCTAAATCAGAATCCTTAGATTAGCAAAATAAAAAAAATCCCATCTCTCATAAGCAGCAGTAAGGCATATCCCCTTGTTTACAGAATCAAGGAGTCTGCCCATATCAGCACTGTCAAGAAGGGACTGGGGGAAACATCATCAACTCCTTTTCTTTTTGTTGCTATGGTGACAGAAAAGAATCAAGCTCTAATAAGCTGAAAAAAAAATTGCCTGTGAGTTCAACATGAAATAATAAAGAAAAAAAAGATGTTTATTCTCATACCCCCTTGCAGATCCACTTGTTCTACAGGGGAGAAAGTTTAAAGAAAACTAGTCACTGGCGGGCATTCAGAAAGGGTGTCATAGACACCATTTAGAATTCTGTCAGGATGCTGTGCACCTAAATTGTCACTTTCACCTGATTCTCATACCTGTCAGAGACAGGAGGTTGGAATGTCCCTACTAGTGCACTCTCTCCCTCCCCAGCCACTGCACGTGTCACACTAACAGGCACATGGCTGAGGAGTTGTGTTGTAGGGGTGAGTGGAGACAGATTAATCAACAGCCAAATGGACCTCATGAGGAACTAATCTCAGTTGTTAGTGCACAGCAGTGTGTGGATCCATAGATGCTATTCAGTCCAATAGTGTTTTTTTTTAATCTGCCCACTCTTGGGCACTGTCAATCTAAAGTAATGACAGCTTGTCTCAGTTCCGCCCTCAGGCTCTGCCCACCCAGTGACACAAGTCATTTCCCATATCTGGGTAATGATATCACTATGTCTCTAATGAATGGGGTCGGGGGGAAAGGCCCTATGCAGCATGACAGCACAGGTATGCCCCACCGTGAGTACTGAGGTACTTCTGTACGCTTAGAGTTGCTCTTACTACCAGTTTCCTACTCTGCAACTGGCAGTATATGTGGAAGAATCTGCCGCTGCCATTGCAGCAGGTTCTTAAAATGGATTGTAGTTAGAACTACCTGTCACCTCTGTCAGTCATTTTACTGAAACTGGTGCAAATGCTTGATTGAATTAGCTGCAGGTAATTCTAGAGAGAACTACCACCAGAAAAGTGTTGTTAGGACTTTATTACATTCCCCCACTGTCTTCTCAGAACAAAGTAATAGCTTCTCTTTACAGCCAACCTTCTTTGCAGCTAAAACCTACCGTCCCTGTACTCCTTCCATTATGTAAGCTCTGTCTCGGTTCGTACCCAGCAATAAGTACCCCTCACAAGTGACAGTCTTCAGGTCTGCCAATTAGCTGTTCTGGCACTGTGCACTGCAGTGGGGGAGGGGGAGAAGGTCACATGCTCCCCATACTCAGAAGTACCTGATATTTTGAGAGGCTCAAACTTGTGATTAAGGTGGTAGGGGAGCACAGGGAAAATATCAGTAGCAGAGAAGGTGGCCATTAAGAGAACCTGTTATTTTGCCCTGAATGGGCTAAATGACATGTTTACCTAAATATGTACTGAACATTATAAAAATACACATCAGTTATATCTAGTATTGTTAATAAATGAAAGCTTTGCTGTGCAAGCTCCCCAGTATCAAACAAATCACTTGAAGTAGACGAGCATGCACCCTACCATTCACAATGACCTGTGCACAGTTCTTACTCATTGTTTTTAATGTCATTTGTGTTCTGCCTGTCCTGAAATACAATAGGCAGAACATTTACATCAACACTTACACTTCCATGCATACTACTCAAATCACCACACTGCCAGGCGCATACCCTTGCCATTTGTGCCCTTGTGCATCCAGTCACTCCAGTTCTCTCTCCCTGTCCATAGCAGCCTCTCCTATGTCAGCTATTTTCCACAGAAAAAGAACATTTTTCTGTACATTCTTTACAAGTTTCATTGCATACTTTTCTTTTTCATGCTTTACATGCTATAGAAAATATGACGAGCAAAGTTGTGCAAAATAGCTGTTGCGTTTGTTCTTTGTAAGTTGACCCTTACACTGTAATTCTGTGCCAATATCAAAGAACAGATGGGGACATTTCTGAAAAGAGCTGTAACAAAAGTCCGGTGTTGCCACTAAATTCTGTCTTTTTTTTTTGTGTGTGTGTAAAAAAAAGAAAACAAATTAGATCACTGCTGGCTGTGAACAAAACCATGTTTTCCACTGTATTGATGTAAAAAGGAAAGTCCAATATTTCTATAAGAAAGGCAGTTAGGGAGAATGATGGAACCAATCAAGTATGAAGTACATTATTGTTATACAGCAAATGATATGAATGAAGGTAATGGCTGTGATTACAATCTGAAGATTACTCAACTGCCATCTTCTGAGGGGACATTACTATGTTCCAATGTACATAATCTCAGCTACATTACTAGTTTACTCATGAGGGTAACATGAGCCAGAAAAAGGGTGGTTTTCTACAAAACAAGCAGTTTTTCCTAAATACACTAGTAAACATCTCCACACCCTACCTGAACAGATGCATGAGCAAAGACAAGGTGACAGCAGAATTATGGAATAATACGGCAACCATGTCAAGGTTTCACTGCATATTGTTTCATACGTGTTCTTCCACCAGTTGTTTGTGATTTGTATAAGATTTGAAAGCAAAAAAAAAAGTCAAGTTATTCATTTGGAGATGGACAGAAGTCCTGAAATGTTTTTGGTCAAGGAAATGTTATCTCCAAGCACTTTAGCCTACAGTGGCTAAGATGACGTCAGCTGGTGTCTCATCGGTGCTTCTCACGGTTACTTGCATGGTGACACCATCACTCAGTGCAAGCTTGGCCCTCACCAATACATCATGGCCTCCTCTATATACTCCTGTAAAGGCAGATACAACAAGGACAAAGTTATATGTTAAGAGCATCAGTTTTAAGGTAGCAATTTGCAAACAATATAATTTAGGATTTATCGGTGAAAGCCGTTTCATCAAATCTTGACATAAATAGAATCTTGAGCGCTGCTATGGGTCACACAACTAGTGCACGTGATAAAAACTATGTAATACCCAAATCATAAAGTAGCCGCTAGGCACAAAAACCCTCTTATCAGGGGAATTAAAAAAATAGTGAAAAAAGGGCAGCGCTACATATCGTAAAACTGAAAAACAAAACATGATCATTGACAACACGATGAATAAATGTGAAAGTCCAAACACAATTCTTCTAAATAGAATTTTTCTTTCTGCCGTGATCACCAAGTGCTCCAACCAAAAAAGTGCTCAATTCCTCCACCAGATGTCTGCTCACCTCCAGCAGTGTGACCTCACATGTAATGTTTGGTCTAACTGCACTTTTGGTCCACATTTATTCATCACGTTGTCAATGATCATGTTTTGTTTTTATGATATGTAGCGCTGCCCTTTTTTCACTATTTTTTCATCAAATCTTATTTCATAAACAGTATTATATGTTATATTGCTTACAATACTTGACAGAATATTCCATTAGAAGGGAGCACATACAAAAGCAATCGATTATCTTGATAATATAAGGAATAACAAAGAAAGGTGATTTTGTCTTACCAGACAGATAAAGCACATGCGAATTCTTGTTCTCTGGTACCTTATCAGTCCTCTCACATGGCTGCATTCCCAAGAACTTGATGATATTAGCTACAGCCTCTGATAAAACAAATACAGAAAGTCAGTCATTCACAGCCGGAGACAGCCAGGCAATTAGCATTTTTAGGAGAACAGCTATAGCACCAGCCCCCCTACACTTCCCCAAAAGTGTGTGCAGGTTTTTTTTATTTTAACCCAGTTTTTCTCTCTCTATACCTACATGGTGTGATTTGTTGCTGAGTTTTGTTCATAAATGCTTTAACGTTAATGTCTCCCCAAGTTAAAATTCTGCTTCCTGCCCTCACAATGGAGTTCTCTGTGTGGGCATAGCTAATTAAGAGGCAATGCGCTCTGTACAAGACTTCTCCTACAAATTAGTACAGCAGAGAAGGGATAGGGTCGTCAGACTGCATAGCCATTTCTGTGACTTTAATTGCTTTTTAAACTCCTGACAACACTAATGTTCTCGAAGGATGAAAATGACATCCAAACACACAAGAATCATAACAGATTGTTTTACCTTCCAATGTCTTTGTACTACTGAGAGCAAAGGTTTCCTCTTTCTCATGTACATCGCCAACCTCATCCCAAGCTGCTCCAAAATTTGGTTTCAGCACCTTTTGAATGTGGTCTTCAAGAGTTATCTCCAGATCTTCAAGCTTGTTGAAAAAACATTAACAATTAGAATGTTCCCATACACACAGGAGGGCAGTCATACATGCAAACCAAACGTGATCTTCTTCAGCTAACGCTAAGGACTACACTGCCATAGTATCACCTGAAAAACAGTAAACTGTTTTTTGCTTTAAATTTTATTAAAGGTTTGCACATAGCAAGCAAAAGCACACGAGAGTAAAAAAGAAAAAGCTATGTGAGCTACAATTATCTTGAAAATGAAAACTGAGCTTTTTTTATGTCAGTACTGCATGTTGTGATGAAACACTTAGGTATGGATACAGCCTGTTTAGGTCAAGCCACTGAAGCAATAGTCTCAAAAAAAGCACATCAGAACTGAAATCTATTCTGTCTGGAGAACCATTTGACACAAATGTTTCAACTGTCAGGAATATGTTTCTATTTCAATATGATCCAAAGCAATCATTTCCAAAAATATATGATCATAGGTTAAACAGTTTTCAAAGCTTACGTACAAGGACCTATTTAAAGATTATTTCAGTTATGTTCATGTTAAAGGAGCAGTATGGACTTTAAAAAGAAAAAAAAAATTATACTCACCTAGGTGGATGCAGCATCGCTCAGTTCTCCCCTCCGCTCTGAGCAGAGAGCAGTAACTGTCAGTCACCGGCTTTCTGTTCTGCCCCTCCAGAGTTCATTGGAGTGCTGGCTGTGGAGGGGCAGTAGGGGCTGGCTGGCTCAGACTCTCAGCGGATCACGGAGAGGCTGAGCTATGTGCTGGTCCAGGCTTCTGGGTGGATCCCAACCATATGGTCGGGATTTTTTCAGAGCCTGGACTGGTTGAGTGACGTCAGCTGACAGTGGACTTCAGCTCATTGTCAGCTGAAAACAGGTCACAGAAGTGCAAAAACCACTGATACTGTGACCTACAGAGGAAGTATAGCCAAAATAGCTTTGGTTATGTATCTCCTTTAATGCTAGGTTCACACTGCTGCGAACATATATTGATCCGACTTTAGTGCGATTATGTAGTGCGGCTTGGATGCAACTGCAATGCTACTTTGTATATTCTATGGGGCAAAAATCAAGCTGAAATCACACTAAATTAGTACAGGAACCAAAATTGTGCCATGCTGACTTGCACTGATGTGAATGGACACAATTGAAAACAATGTAATTTCCACTGTAATGCATTTTTGTGCGCTTAAATCGCATATGAAATCGGACTAGTGTGAGCACCTGGCGCTTCACTCTTTTCAATATAAAAACAATGTATCACTTTGGCAAGAAACAATACCCTCAAAATGAACATAATGAGATTAAACTGCTTCTTGGGGATGACACAAAAAATATACTCACTAGGCAGACAAGGTTGTAATAAAAAAAACTCAACATACCACATACTCATCACTATATCCGTCATCATCAGGAACGCCAGTGTGGGGATCACAGTCCCTGACCACAAATTTCATCGTGCAGTTAAATGTGCAGGACACTAAATATTAAATACAATTAAGTGAATAACTGGTGAATACATATTAAATGTGAACTTTAGGCAGATAAAAAAAAATGATGAATTATCTATTAATTAAAAAAAGATTAAATACATTTTTAAATGCAACTAAAGAAGTACATAAACATAGTGTCACTGTTTGGCCTTGTGATAAAATAATGTACCTTAGTGGACTAAGTCAGCGCATGAATCTAACACACACACACAAACTTGTTGGCTTGACTATGGCTGTTGCATTCATGGGTAAATGCTAAGTTAATAAAAAAAACACAAATAATCATACCTGCAGCAGACTCATCCTCAGGTAGCCTGACCAACGTATAACATATGCCAGGTTGATTATAGGGAAGACTCTGAGCTGGGACATAATAAACCACTTCATATCCTTCTGATGGCTCTATATGAACAATAACTTTTTCCAGTAGCTGATCATTCAGTGTATTTGTGCAGTCAAACTGTAAATCCAAAGTAAAATGACAGTAATTAATGTCACATGTACCTGCATACAAAACCCTGCACATTAGTACTGTAAGAGAAGAAAGAGAAGCAAAAATCCCCCTCACCTGAAAAACAATGTGATCTGTAAATACATGCTTGATACAACGTACAAAATATTCAGTTTCAGCTTCTGTAAGCTGCACAGGATCAGAAGACTTGAATAGCGGACCCAAATTTTTGAATTCTGGAATGGCAGCCAATTGTTCTGTAAATAGAAATGAAAACCGCCTTGTAACAAATACTGTACATAATGCCAGGGGTAACCATGTACCAACAATTTCTAGACAGCCAGCATGCCTGTGCCTCAGGCATGCATGCATGAGCTGTGTTAAAGTGCACCCATATCCAGACTATGGACATTAACTGCTTGATGACTGGCAGGTTAAACCACCTTACTGTCCAGGTGTTTATTTAGCTTTCAGTACTAGGATTGTGACTAAATTACTCCATCATGCAATACTGTACTGTAATGAAGTTTGTATTAGTATCTTTAGTTTACCTGTGTAAAATTCTGCTCTTAGAGTACATCGAAGGACACAGAGGACTCAGATATTCTTAACTACTGGGATTACATCTTCCATCTTCAAGTGAATAGACACAGACGAACAAAAAAGGGTGGGGGGGGGGGGCAGGAATCCCCACCCAGGTGTAACCCCTGCCAGTTCAGCTAAGTCTCAGTTTTGTTGCAAGCAAGAAGGTCACAGACAACAGGAGGGATCTATGTCCTGTGATGTACCCCAAGAAGAGGATTTTACATTATAAGTAAGACAAAAATCTTAAATTTGTACATTACAGGACATCATATAACTTAGATATTCATGGCTACCTGGGATGTCCCAAAGCACTGAACATGAGGTGTGGGCAACAGCAACAGGCCAAGATGTGCAAAATAGGACAGGGGGAACACCACTACAAAGCTGTCTGATAGACCATCTACCCAAAACTGGCATCTGCAGAAATGTGAACATCTATCTGGTAGAACTTAGTAAGCATAAAGAGAAAACCAAGCAACAGCCCTACAAGATTGAACATCAAAAGACTGATGCAGAATAGCCCAGGAAGCACTGATACTGAGGAATGGACCTTAGGTGGAAAAAGAGAAACCTTGCCCTGAGGTCATGAGCCTAAGAAATGAGCTGACAAATCCAACAATGGGTTGGGAAGCATCCTGACCCTTGTGAGGAAACTCAGAACAAACAGGAATCGGACTGTCGAAATGAAGCTGTAGACTACAGATAAATTTGAACAACATCCAAAAAGTGAAGTACCTTTTGCTTAGGATGATTAGGACAAAATGATAGCAAAATAATGTTCTCATTTAGGTGAAGAATCCACTAAAGAGCACCAAGGCCTCAACAACGCATCATCCTACTGAAAAACCAGGAAGGGTTCCCTGCAGGTAAACATAGCTAAAGCCTGCGACTCTGTGAGCCAAGGTAGCAGCAAGCAAAGACACCCTTGTGCATAAGGAGTGATGAGGGCATCTCCTGAATTGGTTTAAAGAGAGAAGTCTGCAAAACAGACAAGACCAAGTTAAGGCCCCACAGACACAAGAGGAGCCATACTGGTGAAAAGATCCTTGTGATACCCAAAATGTGCCCTATGACTTACTGTTAGGGATGAGATTTACAAGCCCCACACCGGGCAAAATAAGCCTTCCATGTACAATGTTACATCTTCCTGGAGGTAGACTTTGACCCCTACCCTCCTCAAGGCTATAGAGTCAGAAACTCCCCTGTATTTCAGGACTTCAGTTTCAAACAGCAATGCAATCAAAGCCAGCAACCATAAGGCAGGATAAACAGCCAAACCTTGTGACAATAAATCTGGCCAATCTGGAAGAGCCCAAATCTTGTCTGTTAAGAGATTTATGATGTCTGCAGGAACAAGCAGGATCTCTGGGTAGGAGCTCGTGGACGGAGCTCCGCTGTCTGACCTCCCCAGGCCTCCAAGCTTATCCCCTGGGGCATGTTAGAGCCCTGCGGTGGGGGACTTACCCGGTCTGACGGCTCCCGGCGGAGGAGATGCTGATGCGGGTGAGGGAAGAGAGAGGAGCGGCTGGAGACTGGTGAAGAGAGAGTCCCTGGACGCTGGGAGACGAGAGGGGCCGGCGCGATCACGTGACCGGCCGCAAGGCACCTCTGGGAGATCGAGAAGCCGGCCGGCGTTTTGCAGGGAGAGAGCAGCGCCGACCTGTTTGCCGGTGGCCGACACACTTTCCCCCTATCCCCCTAGTAACCCTGGAGCCTAATAGAAAGTGGAAGGAGAACCATCGAGACCTGGACAAGGAGTCTGAAGAGACCCTGGGGAGTTCCCCCCCATGAACAGACCCTCAGAGGAATCGAGTGAAAAGGCACTCATTGGAAGAAGACATAGGAGGAGGGTGAGTGACTATGAATGAAATGTGATTTGCATTTGAAGACCTATTGTGCTGACCTCCAAGAAATAGAGTGTATGTGAAAGGGGGGACCCCTGGAGACTGTATAAAAGGTGGAAGAGGCTCGCAGAGAGAAGAAGAGAGGCTCGGGGGGAAGGAGGGGGAGAGGAGGGAAGGAAGAAGAGGAAGAAAAGAGAAAGAGAAAAACCAGCAGGAGGACAGGGCAGAGACTTGAAAGTTTAAAGAAATATTTTCCCACCCCACCCACGAACTTATAAGGATTATAAGAAGGATAAGTGCCACAGAGAAAAATGAAAAACAAAAATGTAAAAGGAAGTGGGCTTAAAGGGTCCCAGACTGGCACAATTAAAAAATACACATCCCAAGGGAATGTAACCCCAGAAAGACCCCAGAGCAGATCTGAAAAAGGAGAAGCAGACCTTAGTATGGAAAGAAGCCCTAGAGTATCAATAGGCCCTGATACTAGTAATCAGCAAATATCAGGCAATACAGAGATGGAAAAAGATCTACAAATACCTAATAAAAAGGAAATGGCAGAAATGTTTAAAGAACTGGAGAAAACAATAAAACAAGAAATGGTAAACATTCGCAGTGATCTGGGACACCTCTTGGAGAGAGTTGAGGAAACGGAGGAGAAAGTTAAAGGTCAGACCCAGGCTATCTCTGAACTTGAAAAAGAACTAACTAATATAGGGAAAGCCCAAGAAAAACTGTTATATAAGGCCGAGATACAAGAAAATAAAGACAGGAAGAGAAACATCTTGATACGTGGGGTCTCAGAAAACTTAAAGGGAGAAAGTCTGCAAGAGGTGGTTTGTAAAATATTTAACAATATAACAGACAGCTCTGAAATGGAAAGGTCTAAAATAGAAGGAACCTTTAGAAAAGGAAAAATTCTGAGAAATCTGGGGAAAGAAAGGCCGAGAGATATAATTGTTAAATTCTATGAACTTCGGGATAAAGAAAAAATCTGGAAGAAGACTAAGGGAAAATCAGTAATTAAGTATGAAGGAGGAGACATACAGATATATGCGGATCTGGCTCCAGAGACTTTGTGGAGAAGGAGAACTTTGAGACCCCTATTGGAAAGGTTGAAAGAACAAAAGGTGCAATATAGATGGGGGACTCCCGAATGTTTAATAGGATGGAAAAATGGGACTACAGCATACCTTAGGTTTCCAGAAGATATGAAAAATTTTTGTGACAGTTTAAAAATTCAAAGAATGGAAATCCCTGGCTGGGAAGAAGAACAATGGAAAAAAATAGAGCGAAGAGAAAAGAGGACTGGCAATATGTGGGGGGGGGGGGTGGAGGGGAGGGGGGGGGGGGAGAGGGATGGAGGAAGAGAAATAGTTTTTTTTTTTTTTTTTTTTTTTTTTCTTCTTCTCTCCTTCTATCCCCACTCTATCGCCCGTTTCTGATTTTTTTTTTTTTCTGCCTGTGATAAATCCAGGTGGGGCCTGGGAGGTTATGGGGAGGTTAGATAAGGGGAAAGTCGTCCATGGACGGAGTCTTAGCCCAAGGACCAAATCAAAGGTGGACTTTTTAATCCATAAATGATTAGTAGGCAAATGTTGGGCCTAAAAAGGGGGGGGGGGGAGGGGGGGGGGGAGGGAGGGGGTTGGAAGGTTGGAAGGGTGGGAAATGGGAGAGGGAGGTTGTTTTTCCTGCAAAATAAAAGACGATATAAAAGCAAGTGAGAAGGGAGAAGGAGAGAGAAATGAAAAATATAGATGGAGGAGAAAAGAGGAAATTTAAGGAAGATGGAAGAGATTCAGTTTCAGTTTATAACATATAATATAAATGGGTTGAACTGCCCCGGGAAAAGATATAGATTATTTAAAGAATTACACCATAGAGATGCCTCAGTGATATTTCTACAGGAGACACATCTTGAGATAAGTTCAAATGTTAGGCTGAGGTCTAGAAACCACCCAACATGGTATTATGCAGATTCCCCGGTTAAAAGAGCAAAAGGGGTAGCAATAGGTCTGGCAAAGAACATTAGGTTCGAGTTGGAAGATAGAAAAACAGATCCAGATGGGAGATTTTTGTTTTTAAGGGGCAAGTTACAGGAGATCGAGTGTACACTGGCCAATATCTACTGTCCTAATAAAAAAACCGGAGGAGTATCTGAAAAAGGTGTTGAGGAAGCTGATGGACTTTAAAAAAGGACGTTTGATCCTGGCAGGGGACTTTAACTTTTGTATGGACCCACAAAGGGACGCCACCTCCCATATAAAAACAGAAGGAAGTAAGGCCCTGAAATTATTGAAAAAAGAATTACACATAAGTCAATTGGTAGATGCCTGGAGAATTACACACACACAAGATAGAGATTATACTTTTTTCTCAAATATGCATAAGAGATATTCAAGACTAGATTATATATTAATAGAACATCAATTAATTGACCACCTGACCCAGGTAGAAATAGAGACAATATCTCTATCAGATCACGCTCCAGTTATTATGAAAATGGAATGGGGGAGAAGGAAAATCGGAGGGCTGGGATGGAAATTGAATGAGACACTTTTAGTGGAAAAGGAAATAGCTCAGAAAATAGGGGAGGAGATCGAACGCTTTTTTAAGGAGAATGAGACAGGGGAGGTGTCAACGGCCACAGTGTGGGAGTCTCACAAAGCTTATATAAGAGGAATATTAATGGCGATTGGGGCAAGAAAGAAAAAAGAAAGAAGGGAGAAAATGAATGAGCTCTTAGAAGAAATAGGTAAATTAGAACGAATACATAAGAATAGAATAACAAAAGAAATAGAGCTGAAGTTAAAAAAAACAGAAAGAAGAAC